TCACCAAACTGCAATTTCCATCTTACGTGCTACAGGTCTTTCTCCTAATGCTACCTCATTACTTCATAGCTACCTAACGGGCAGGTCACAGTGCGTTACTTTAATGGGTAAGTCATCTGGGTACAGGGAACTATCTAGGGGTGTGCCGCAAGGGTATATTCTTGGCCCCTTATTGTTCACTATATATACTTTGTTTTATACATCAGTTCCTAAGACGTGTCTAGTTCACATGTATGCAGACGACATGCAGTTGTACCACTCCTTTAAAAGTGAACATTTACACGAAGCGCTAAATCTGATTCAAAGTGACCTTAAGGCTATTGAAAGGGCTTCATTGGAGCACTCGCTGGTTCTCAATCCTCTAAAATCGGCAGTCATGTTGTTTGGTAACAAGCAGAAAGTCACCGACTTGAAACATTTGGTAAAATTCAGAATTGGCGACAAAGCTGTTGCACTAAAGGAGGAAGCAAAAAATTTAGGAATAATGATAGACAATTCGTTTAGATACAACAAATTACTCACTAGCTACATCCAGAGAGCATATGCAAATTTAAAATGTATCTTTCCCCATAGGCACTACTTGTCCCAAACTTTAAAAGCTCAACTCTGTAACGCGCTGGTACTAAGCCACTTTAATTACTGTTCGCAAGTCTACGGTCCGTGCATCACTCAGGATATGTCTGCAAGAATACAGCGAGTACAAAACTCCTGTATTAGACTAGTATTTGGTCTTAGGAAGTCAAAATATCTTTTAGAACCGATGTTCACAACTTAAATTTACGGTTTAGAGGTGGGATTACTCCACCCTCTCATCACACAGAAATGTACAAGAGATCTTTTAGTTATAATATTTTTAAAGTATATTCGTCTGTTCCAGATTTGATTAAGCCCCTTTCTCCGCAGTATTTCAAAATTAAATTGCGTCAAATATTAGCCCATGACTCTGTACGTACGTTGTAGATTGTCATTCATATCTATCTTGTTTAACTTGTCTCTCGTCTCTTTGTCCGCTTTTCTTAGTATATTACTCAATCTCTTTTCATCTCACTCTCATTTAGTTACTCCTATGTGCATTTATTACTATTTCATATTTTCCTTTTTATTATATTACTCAGTTATAAGCATTACTTGATTATGTTAATTCTAATTGTATTCAGGGAGTCGGTGGAAGATCAGAACCTGCCTGTGCAGCAACTGAACCGATAACCCCTGTGGTTTCCATTTCTTTAATTTGGTGGAAATAAATTTAAAAAAAAATCGATATATTTCGTTTAGCCACTTACCTGAATAATAATTTCTGTTCATTCCGTAGGGAGTAACACAAATTGTCGCAATCTCGCTCTGTTAAAACAGGTAAATTGGAATATTACATCCAAAACACATATACTTTGTTTCACTGGTGCTGAACCTGACGTCATAAATGTGATTCTCTCTTCATTACATTTAAATCGATTGAGACAAAAAAATTACGTCATCAACGTAAGTCGTGACAAATAAACCAATTGATCTGTCAATATCAATCCGTCAAACGATGTTCGTTATAGACAGATTTCCAGTGTTAAATGCCTTTTGATTAGGTAGTTTGTGTTAAAAGTGAAGTGTGAAGTAAATATCATCAGTTAAAGTTAAAAACGCTTAGGCAAGTCGACAGTGTAGTACCTAACGCCGTTAATAGACAAGTATTTTAAAAATTTTAAATAATGGTTCGATTCGCCCATATCATGAATTTAGGTCATTCCCGTTACCATTAGCAAAGAGTAACTATAATTATGGATACTCTTTGCCATTAGGTAAATATGATGCACCGATACACAGAAGGTGAGTACACAAAACGAAACTTCACTCTTTCCATTACGACCTGTGGTTTTAGACGAAACATTATAAACCAGGCCTGGGAACGGGAACAATATATTGATACATCAGACATCTTACCGGTGATTGTCAACTTGGACGAATCTGATAGTGAAGAAGATTATTATGAGGATTAGATTCAAGAGGCAGAAGAGAATGAGCGTCTTTATAAGAATATTATTTTGGGCCGTTTATACATATATCCTTGTGGTGTAGTGTCCTTTTGTACATACGATTTGAATATGAACATTTGAGAGTTTTTTCAGGAATAAATATCTTCACTACCTGTTTTCTCTCACAATTGCGTTTTTTTTAAATAAATCGGATCAGAAGATACTCAAAATCCTTATGCGAATATCTTGAGTGTGTGGCAAAAGAACAGAAACTGTATGTATGCTTTGTTATTTCAATGAGCCTTTATCTCAAATTAGTAAGATATATAAATGCGAAAGGCTTACCGATAAACCATGGCCTATTCTACTTCTGCAAATGACTAGTTAAGGGTCATTAAAATTCGCGCAACCTAACGCGTATCCTTCACATTGGTAGTTTACTTAATTTCACCTCAACATTATGTAAACAAAATATTAATTTTCGTACTTCCGGGACTAAAGTAAGAACTTCACTCCTTTATGACAAGTACTGAAGTGTCACTTTTTGTCCCGCCGGGATTAAATTTAGACGAAAATCCCGGAAGGATGAAATTACTAACAAGGCAATTTCAGTAGGTTGTTCCACATTTTGTATGCGGCACTACTTCTTAAACGCATCGTACTGCTGCTCATATAGTTTTTTGGATTTCGGTGGTATCAATTCTTTACCTAGTTTGGCTGCTTTTTATCAATATCAAATACACCTTTGTCACCCACCACCAAAATTATGACACTAGTAATGACAGTTTCCAAATTATTTTTGCTACCATAGCCACAGTGTCGTACCAACGCAACGTTCCTATGGTAACTGGTTAATCAGCGATTTTTTGAAAGAACGCGTTCTCTAACTCCATACATATTAAGTGTTTCAGTTTCGGAAGTACGAAAAATATCGTATATACTTTGCGACTGAAGTAGTGGTCTTAATCCCTCAGGTAAATTATGGCCCTCCCTTCGGTCGGGCCATAAACTTTACCTTCGGGATTAAAAGTACTACTTCAGTCCCGCGGTATATAATATACTATTACGAACTGCCTAAACAAACTTTAAGTTACAAATGTTCCTATGCGTTTTCTGTAACCATCATACACTTCATCTCAAAGAGTTTCTGATGCTCTGGCAGTATCCATTTGGACTGTCGGTGCAAAGAATCGGTTACATGAGGTGATTACAAACGGTGAAAAAAGTTTAATTCATACCAACGGATTTCCTCTACATAAAATACATGACCATTTAGCCATTACAAAACCTGGGAACAGGAAAAAACCTATCAGGACCAGATGCCTTACAAGTGATTGTCAACTTGGACGGTCTGATAATAATGACCGATAGTGACACATTAATAAATAAGTTGAAACGTCAATGTGACAATAAATGTCAACCAACTACTAATTTACGACCTGCCTTAATTTTGCTATGACGTCAGATAGTTGTGACGAAAGGTTCAGGACCCGTGAAACAAAGTACAATGTGAGCAACAATGATTGAAGCGTGCGTCATCACCGCTTGTTCCTATTAATATCAAAACTACCTTCTTTGTATGGAGTTGTATACGAAAATGACGTTGTGCGCTGTCACAGTGACGTGCGTCTATTCGTATTTCGTATCTTGTATCAAATCAGCATATGCTATGAGCGGCACATTGCCAATTTAGCTGAAGCGGCACGCTTCATCTTTGTTGCTCACTACTGTATATAAAATACACTCAAAATCTGTCAAGTTGAATTAGGAAATCGGCCTACCATGCTGTGTTGCCATAATTCTCAGCACGGCTTGTAATTATAGCCGGCTGTGCATAAGCTGTTTATAAATGTCACCTATCAAGCTGACATTGACATACCCCCACCAAATGCCGTACCACTGTACCAGTCAGTACCAGTCACGATTCAGTCTGCTTCTGCTGTTAATAGTGTAGAAACGGCATTCTCCTCGACCAAATGACACCTTCTGCGTCAATGAAGAAGGAACGCAAGCATAGAAAAAACACGTTATTGCCACGTTGACCCAAACCGTTATGTTTAAATTCCAATTAGTTTTCTTGTTTCATGTTATATTCGTTTGTTCATTGTTATAATAATTAGTGGATTGTTATTGTTAATAAATACTTCGGCATCCCTAAAAACTTGTTAGTTTTACTATCCCGTGCAAATTTCGCTTTATCAAATTTTGACCGTATGAATATCACCTCAACTTTTTACGGACTACTTGATTCCGTTGAGAAACTTGAGTTACCTCAAAACCGGCCGTGACCTTCAGTTGTGTTTTACCAATATATTGAACAAGTTATACATTGTTTGAAACAGGTGCAGGAAAGCTTAATTAACGATCAAGTTCAAGTAAAATTCGTCTTATTTTGTTAGGCGAAACTGAAGCGTTCCGTATTTTCAAGCGTTTACTGTCGCCCATAAAGAATTATGTGCTTATAACTAAGAAAGTGTTCACTTATTTCCCATTGACGTGATATACGGCACTTTGATGAAATTTAATCGATTACACTTGTGGCAATGCTGAACAATGCAGCGAAGAAAGTGGGACGATAGTTATTAAGAAAAATCTAATAGGTGGAAAAAAAGTTTTTCAAAATGTTACGAGGATCTTATTCCGTTCTGCCTTTTAAATTTCACACGAAAAAGTAAAATGAAAACTTAATTTTGCATGTATAATCACTTTCTTTTCGCAGTCTATAATATTACAATGTCAGCGTCTGTTTTGGAGAATATGGAAATCTATCGAATTTCGTTTTTTTAATTACCAAAAATTATTCATATCTATTTTCGAATGAAAAACCGCCTTTCACTCGCAATACGTACTTTGTATAGTAGTTGTCGCGGCAGCGGACTGTGACAATTTTGCGTAAAATTTTGACCGGAAAATATCGTTCAGTCACGCAACGCTGGTCGCATTCCTTCGTTCAAATTCATTTGTTAAGTGCAAAGCCGCAAATTACAAATTGGCATTCACAATTCCACTATCACTTTCACCTCATCAAAACCGGCAGTCGTTCCACATTCAGTATAAATCAAACATGCTGAAACGAAACTTAATCGCATTGTAGTTGTTGAGTTGTTGGAATGATGTGTAAAAATTCTTCGTCTTGAGGTGCATTTGTGGCGCGGTTGGAGTTGCGGACTATTGAACTCATTTGCAATCAATTGTGGTGAAAGTGATCTTGTTACGCATTTCGTAGTTTTACGTAAAACCAATGAAGTGAGTGGAAATGGGTTGAGTGCGTGTTTATATAGCGATCTTGTATGTCCATTGACACGTTAACGAAGATTGACAGTTAGGTGAACTTGAAGAAGGCAGATGAGGTGTAAACTTCTTAAATAATTAACCTCCTTTTACAAGTTATGAATTTCCTTGGTGTGTCCGTACAGTAATCAACTTTCTAACATGATTTGGCTAAGCGCGGTTTTAATTGCGATTACGACGGCGACGTCCGCCATACGGGTACCGACGTCGTGGTCAAGTCCAGACGCGTGGGACGTCGTGAGAAATGGGTTGCCCAAACAAACAGTCCGTGTACCGTTCCGAAACGAATACACGCACGCGTTCAATCACAATTACGTACGCACACCATCTGCGCCTTCCACAATCAAAACACAATCGGCTTTTGTAAAAAACCGTAAACCTAATCGGTATAATGACCTACAAAGTTCATTATCTTCGGATAATTGGATTCCTATTAGTCCAAGCGTCGTCGGTAACCGAAATGTCAGGAATCCGAGCGACGAGGATACTAAGCCAAAGGACGTCCCGACGAAGGTCAACTATCCAGGTGTCGGTAAATGGGCGATACGTGGGATTAAACACAAACCCTACGTCCACGTTCCCACCAAGTACGCGGAGGAAAAACCCGCGAGCGTGGATAAACCCGAAGGGTACGACATCTTCGAAAGGGCGAGGCCAACCTTCAATCGGCAAAAGCAGAAACTCGTCCACAAGTTTTCGCCCCATAGAAAACCGAAGAAGGTCGATCGCGAAATCGAAGAACGAAGCGAGGATGACAACGACAACGATTTTGTACCCACTCAGGTATTGGCCCAGGTGCGGCGAAGGGTGGACGCCGATGAGCATCTGCCGCGAGACGAGGACGAGCCCCGACTACGCGAGGCAATTAAAGATTCCAAAGTACATGTTGTCTACACTGAAGAAGGGTACGAAGACATTGGATACGACCATGCCGGCGAGGAACGCAGCGCGGAAGAGAACGAGGGACATTCCATTCGAAATTCCCGACGTCCCAAGGCTCTGAAACCGGTACCGGTCCCTGTAAGCATTCTGCGGGAGTTTGAAAAGTATGAAGATGTCACGAAAGAAGATTCAGACAAAGCGGCCTCCACTCAAAAAGTAAGTGCAGCAACATTAGGCCCGTGATGATGGCAGTATCCATTCAGCAAAATAGAAAGATGGTACCTATAGCAAAAAATGAAAACGCTCAAAAACCTCCACGACCCATTGTAGTCCTTTTGAAATACATATACTGGTGTTATGGTAAAAAAAAACTAATTTGTATAAGATATTTACGTCTGAAGGTAGTCTCCACCATACCCTCCACTTATCCATTTGTAAGAATTTTGAATCCCGACTGTTGACTCTTCAAGAAATTCCCTGAGATTCATTTCTTGTTTCGGTAGTCGAAAGGAACTCAATGTCTTAAAGTATGAATATTAAATTTTGGATCTCGATTCCAAAAAGTTGAACTTCTAACTGTGTATCCTGAACCTGAAATCTAAGACTTTAAGAATTTGGAGCGTGACTATTTGAGTTTGAATCATGATTCATGAAAAGGCTCAGATTTAGTTCAATTCGTTAGTGTTCCTCAGTGCTTTGAGCGTCTGTTAAAATATCTTTGCTACATTAATGAAAAGTTCTATATGAAAATTGAAATTTTATATTAAAATGCGATTTCAGGTAAAATTTAATAGAAAAATCATCAGTATAAATGAGTTGCACTAAACAGCATCCGATTAAGTCGTAAAAGGTATCAAAAGAAGAGTACTCGGGGCTTTGTACTTCAATATTTCCTCGCCAGTAATGTGTCATGACTTTTATGTATGTAACTATTAACCAACATCGTCCTGAAACCTTCATTTTCATGCATACTTTCTGTCAGGAAACTTTAGTTTCCATGACAGAGGCAGAGCAGGCTACATTTCCTGCCTCTTGTCACTTTACTGGCCGCACATGTTACTTTACCGGCCGCATCTGTGACATTGTTAAATGTCTATAATGACTCCTGTCATCACTGACATATCAAAAGTTCTATATAAAAATTGAAATTTTATAATAAAATACGATTTTGGAAAAATCTAATACAAAACTCGTCAGTAAAATGGCATTACTTGACTCGGAAATTAAAGTACTCGGCGCTAAAGGGGCCTCGCATTTCAATATTTCCTCGCCAGTAATGTGTCATTTTCCTGACTTTTATGTAAATAACTATTAGACTCTACGGCACTGGTAAAAATTTTACTGTAGTGCAATCATTAATACCACGGCTCAATAATGAATATTTTTTCAATGGCTCTTACCTTGCTGAAAGTTGCTTCTTTATCACCGCATAATTTGAAAATTAAAACCTGATGCTTGGGTTTATCACTTTCAAATAAATACTCATATGGTTCCAACTCGAGTCTTACATTTTTTTGTGATTTAAATTATTGATGTACTTCATATAATTAAAACAAAATAAAGTTTAACTTCAGATTACTGTCACAATTAATAAGAACAAAAATTTTCTCCTTTGGAAAGGTAGCAGCAATTTGGAAAATCGGATGGTGGAACGCCTTGCACAATACAATCGGACCTTTTGAGTCATCTAGTAAAAATTTGGGTACTTATTGAAAGTGAATCTTAAAAGACGGTTGGCGAATTTAAATTTCTCGCAATTTAACAGTTGAAATTTGGTTATTTACTGGAATCCAATGTTCTGCAGTATAGAAATATCCAAAATTACAATTATAACTTACGGTTTTGACAGCCAACAAAAACTTAATCTTTAATCCTTTTACCGGTTACTGTTTATTGTAGATCTAATGGCACCCCGTATACATAAGATGCACCATTTTGATTGACAAACTTGTTTTTTAATAATTTAACTGCTCTAAATATATCCGCAATGAGTTTTGCACCTTGGACCCTAACGCTTTCGTGGTAGCAATTTATTTAAATGCGAACACTTTAATCCCACCATGCACCCACAAACGTACATATTAAGAAAGTTGGACATGTGTAAATCCGCTGTCCATTGGTTGTCACCTACGAGTAAAAATAAGAGGAGAGAACATTGCATTAAAAAGGCGCGAGACGGAAATGGATATAAAAGAAGCTATAATAGTGATGGGAAACGCGTCATCATTGGCAGTGGTTTAATAAAACAAAACTGACATCGTCTCTTCTGTTCTATGATAAGTCAAGTAGACATAACTGACCAGCGCAAAGGAAGTAATATGATGGAAACTTCCGTCGCGTGCTATGCTATTTCCCACCACCGATATATTCTCCCCTCTTATTTTTTTAATCGTAGGTTTTCTCACACGGCAAAGTTCCCTTGTTGCATAAAAAATGCCTCCTATTACTGGTTTTGTTCGAAAGGGCACAGAATTGATAAAGTATCCACGACAATAAATTCGTCGAAAATGGGGGCACAATTTTCCGGTTACGCGGCTGACGATTCTTTTACGTACTGCTGTTATACGGCTTTCGGTTCGAATCTTTAATTTACAATGCAGTCCCAAAAAATTTCCGCGCTTACTTTACATGGATTTGCCTTTCTCCCACCCAATTTTTACTATGCACTCAGTGAGCTCGAGTGATGAAACGCCAACGAAACCTAAGCTTCACTCTCTTTTTTGTACATGTTCGAAGGTATACCAGAAACAGCGTGCCTCATTCTTCGTCGCAACGGTTTTTAGAACCGGCAGCACTGTAGCGTTTCGACTCTCATCTGCTTGAACACTCGTTTCTTATCTTAACGCTTTTTAATTTCTCGCAGATCAGTTCTCTTTCTTTTTGAAGCTGTACAGGAATAAAATTTTCTATACAGACAAATTTGTAACTGTTACCTGTTACACTTTTTGTTATTCAGTTGCTAGAGCTACAAGTAACAGAATAATAAAATGTTGAAAACTGCAGAGGGAGACATGGCACAGACGGACTAACAGACAGAGGTTGCAATACTAATGATAATAAATATTGCTGTGTGCAATGGCCCGACCAACATGAGTCATACACAAAACACTTTAAACCTAGCATTTTAAAATTTTCCTAGAGCATCATCCGAATCCCGCCACAATGAAAAATTTCAATATCCACTTCAAATTCAAAATTCCAAGGCAAATAATGGCCGCGATCAAATTCCTTAAATTCCAAAAGGATTATTTACACAAATTTTGTAGACATATGAAACAAACGTTGAGTACCGATTAACAAAATTAATCATAATTGAGAAATTTATCTGGATCGTTAGAGGGTTCGAATAAACACACAAACGGAGACTACTTACAGTTTTCTATTAAAATTCCAAAAATCCGGTCACACAGAGCACTAATTGTGGAAGAAAAAACGCATTTAACAAAACTTATCGCACTAATTTATCTTCTGGATCAGATGGAACTAATTTTACTCAATTTGAATTAAACTGGCTGGCCAAGCCACGACCAATGGAAACAAGTATAAATTGTGCACAACTCTTGTGCAGATAAATAGCATTTTTTAAAAGCGAAATAGCTTTTGTTTTGACATCACCAATGGATATATTCCTTGCAGACGTCTCAATCGTCCTTTGTGAGTACCCTCTTTCGACAATCCGTTCTTGAGGTATAAGGGAATATACCCGATCACGATAAGAGGTCGAGGAGGAGAGCTATGGTTGGTAGAAATTAATTCCTTTCGTTGAGACCTTTCATTAAAGTACCATGAAGGATAAAACTAGTTCCACCCCCCTCCCCCTCCACCACGTACTTTAATAAGAGGACAGAAAGATTACAATACAATTAAATTGAAGAGTGCGTATTTTTTAACGTAATTGTCAAGTCGACTTTAATAATACCTCACGAAAAATAGTGCTTCCCATTAAAAAAGTGACTCTCTTAGTTCGGTAGCTCCACACCACTGGAAATAATTTGTAAAGATCTAAATTTACTTGAAAGTTATAAAACAACTCCTTTGTTTAAGCTATTAAGTTTTGTTATGCAATTTTGTACGTTTTTATATCCAAAATGGTGCACACTTTAAGCATATGTAATAAAAAAAAGCGGTTACTATGAAATAGTATATTAGCCCCCCTCGACCATGCTGAAGTACGCCGCTGAACACAATTTTAAAGTATGTAGGTACGTTGGTAGCAACCTGTTTACAATTTCCTTTTAAAAAAATGTTTTGAAGATATATTCAGTCCTACTACAAATTTAGCACATCATTATTTGTTACACACTTCCCTTGGGTACTGTCATAGAGTAAACAATACCATAGAGTAAACAACGTTGTTTACTCTATGGTAATGCTTAGTGAAGTTTGCTGTTCTGTATCTCTGAATACCTAGATCATTCTTAATTGGTAGCAACCCAAATCTCTTTCGATTGCTAAATGGTATCTGTCATCTACACAGACCTGCCAATATTCCGTTACATCTAATTCTACATTTCAGCACCGCAAACGCTTTGTGAATGACCTTCCGACCATTCAAATAGAAGATTACCTACCGGAAAAGCACGAACCTACCAGTGCACCCACGAAACAAAAACGCAAAAAGTACCCTTACTACTCACTCGATGCTTTGAGGTATTCTCCACTGAGATATGCAGAAGACGCTAACGTCCCCAAAAAGGTTGAGGGTGAGCTTAGCTTCTACGACCAGACTGGTGCAGCAAACTGTCCTGACATTCCCCTCGAGGTGAATCCCGTTCCGGAGAAGGCAGAGCAAGAGAAACCGGCCAACCGATCGGAACCTAGACTGACTAAACTGGGTGACAAGATCTCCTGCCTAAAAGCCAAGTACTTCGGCGAAGATCCGCTGGATAACCCACTGTTTCGCGAGTCTACGGTTGAAGATCCGAAACTAAACTTTGAAGAATTCCTTCGCACCTTGCAGAGGCGCAAACGTAAAACCAGGTCGGTGGACGAAGCCGCTACGGAAAATGAGGTGGAGGAACCCCTCCCGGAAAACGCCGCTTTACGAGTGCGGCTTGTGAGACGAAAATTTCGTGTACCACCGCCGAGGGTGTGGGTCTCCAACTACGTGACAACAATTACCCCTCCGTTTTCCGCGCACCCCACCATGATACCGAAATACAAGACTATCAGCGAGGTCTACTACAAGGAGGAGATCCAGCCGGATGAACAGCTGAACGTGTTTTCCGATATTATGAATAACATTCACAAAACCCGCGTAGATTCGGCCAGCGCCGATTCGGAAATTATCGAAAGTAAGGCGACCCCTGAGCCCGAGACCTTAAAAGGTGTGGTGAGAATTAAAGTTCCGCAAAGAACGCTTAAGATTAGACAAACGCAAACCACGACGACAGTGAAACCTTCGACTACTCCCAAACGCGTTTACAAGAATCACAAACATATCCCTCAGGTGTTTGAGGAATACGTGCAGACAATCAAACTGAATGAGCTCCAAAAGGCTAAGCCCCAGAAGCAGGAATTGGACTATGAAGATGAAGACGTGGAGCCCCAGTTCTCCGCGCCTCTCGAGGAAACAGTTGACTTTACGACCTCTAGGAGTTTTGATTTTGATCAAGGAGTCTTGAATTTGTACCACGTGGAAGGGATGAACCCGCCTACTAATCATCGTCCGGTATCCTACTACTCCTACCGTGCACCACCAGTGGTTCGGGTGAGGCGCAAGAATCGCTATCATCGAGTTTACAAACGGAGCGCCACCAAGCCGGCATATTCGGAAATAAGACGCAGACGGCCAGATCCATCACCCGCCGATGACGAAGACGATTATATTCCGCAACGTAACAGAAATTTTCGGTATGACACCGAAAAACAGCGGGTGGTTTATGATAGACCACCCGTTGAGGTTGAAGAAGACGAAGAGGTTATAATTCCCACTAGTACTACAACCACCACCACCACCACCACCACGACTACAACCGAAAGCGGCCCTTCCTTTTTGGATTACGTTTCCGATTTAAAGGCGCGCAGCGGCTACAGCTTTATTCCGGAACCCACAGAAAAACCCAAGGTTAAGGAGGAAGCGCAAACAACAACCACCCCAATTCCCGTGCACACTCCCGCGCCTGAGTTTTTGAACATTGTAAAAAAGCTGAAAGTTAGTGACGGTTACATGGCAATTGCAGAGAAAACCCCAAGGCCTACAACGACAACTACCGCAGCATCGCCTGAGGAGGATTACGATTCGGGCCCACCAGAGCGTGAGCCCGAGCAACTTCCATTGCGAGAGACGTACGTCCCCAAAGCCGTTATCGACTACTCCAAGTACAAAACGATCGAGCGGAAACCCGTGCACAACATTAGCAGTCGATATAGTATGGATGATGACAATATCCCTTTAAGTAATACTGGAAGGCTTGTAATCTCAGATGCTACAAGCCAAGTTTCAACGACATCAGCAACACTAACCAGTACTAGAAAGATAAGGGTGCGAACACGAAGAAGACCACTGGTTACCTCCTCCACACCCGCGACCAAGTTAACCCCTTCGCCACCTCCGACAAGCATCCAGCGCAACCTGCGGCGCAGATCCAGACCGACGACAACAACCACTACCACCACCACTCCTGCGCCCACCGAAAGCCAAACACCACGACTGTCGCGAAGAAAGTTTCAAGCCGCTGGCAGAGTCCCCCCGAATCACAAAGAGGTCTACACCCCGATCGCGTCGCGCGAAGAAATCAGCGCCAGAAGCGCCAAACTGATCTCAGCGCGCGACTTGCGCGACGTGCAAATCATAAAGGAGTACGATCATAATAAAAGGCACGGGGGTAACTACCAAAGAGAACCGAAGGAGGTCGACGCGTCGCCGTCGCCCGACGACGACGACGACGTCGATCGTTTAACCGACGTCGTACCCAAACCCGATGCGTTTTTCTCCGACCCCAACCTGCCGGAGAACGTAAATGAGCTGAGAGAATTCGCCAAAGATTCGATAGAAGCGACCAGTGCAAATCCCCACAAGGAGGAGGTAAAAATTGTCGAAGAAAGTGACGGGGAGAGGGTCGAGAAGAATTCCGTGTTTATTGTTAAGGATCCCAGCAAGCGTTTGTATTTTTATGCTCCAGTAAAACGATAGTTTGTTATAAGTTTATTTAATAAAATATATTTTTTCGTTTTGTTTTACCATCTTTTTGACTCGGCAGATATCTGACGCACTGAGTATTGTAATACAAGTTCAGCCAAAAAGATACTCTTTGGGCTAGCAGAATGTTACATTACTCCTCAGCGAAGGAGTTACCACCTAAACTACACCAACTGGGGAAATAAAAGGTCGCAACTCGAAAATTCGACGATGTATAACCGGGGTAGATATATATTTTCACAGATGCATAGGCGTGTCGAAGCTTGAGACTGGTCCACTATCTCTCGGGCAATAATATCTCTCTTATAACTTTTTCGTCCACAGGAAATAATTTATGTAGGAGGTCCTGTACTGGAAACGTAACATTTTTTTTCGGAAAGTGATCTGAGAGATGCTAATCCATTCTTCGACGAAATATTCCCACACTGACGCAGGTTCCAGAGTAATGCGCATTTTTCCCGAACAATCCTCCTTTTACGATGGACGACGAACTGAATGGCAACGGTTACTAGGACACCCCTCCATTCGGAAAACGATTTTCATCTCAACTCAAGTGTGCTTTGGATAACAAATTAATAACAAAACAATATAAAATACTTATTTAACACCTATTTTACATTATAACTTACATGTATTTAATAAAAAAAAAAAAAAAAAAAAAGGTTTCAAGATTTAAACAATATAAAATATATTAAGATCTCAACACATAAATAAATAAATTTACTATCCTTGTTACGACCTACTTAACATGCGTCATGGTTTCGTCCTCTTTATAGATGTCCAGCTGTCTTACCCGCCCATTTCGCCATCGAAGGTCTTCACTTCCGCGTTGGTGATGAGTTCCGTGAAGTTGAGCACGCCCCCACTTGCTTAATTTAGCGCTGAACCTCTTTTTGAACGTACTACTCACTCGAATAAATATTCTGTGTTCGATTTTACGAACTTCATGCTCAATCACCACTGCACTAACGACTACCGGTATAATTCCTCTCCAAAAATAGTCTTCGCCGCGTTCCTATTATTTGTTTTATTCTCTTAATTAACGGCAAAATTGCGCTAATCGGCCATCTTTAATCATTAAGCGATAGACCACGCCTACTTAACCCAATCAGGCGCGTATATACAGTGATATTTATTAAGACATGCAGATGGGGATTTACATGTATTGTTTTTCCCTATGTATACTTTTTAACTGACAAAATCGCTTCTGACGGGCGCTTAATTTTATGCAACCAAAATAACTTCCTAAAACAAATAAAGATCTGGCCATCAAATTAATTAGTATTATTGCTTTCCCTATGTCTACTTCTTAATAAACATCTGATGACGAACAAATCTGAATTCGTCGTTTTGTAAAAGACGTTATCGGCCGAGTTATATTTAACTCTAAACCTTTTACTTGAAAAATCACCCTTAAACACGGTTCCAACTATCAAAATCTCATAAAAATGAGCCTATACTCATTTGGCCTAATTACTTAATGCGGAATTTGAAGGTGTAAAAATGGCCTACCGTGCCGTGGAAAAGTTCACCTCTGACCCTGCAACAAAAAAACTGTACATAGGCACGACACCTCCCTAAGGTACTCAGCCAAGAAGGACTGGCCTTGACACGAGGGCAGAAACCACGACGATGTTGCACTGATTACAGTAAGGCGGCGCGGTCTGAGAGACCTATCGTGGAAAGCTGAACCTCGCTGATGGAGCGTAGCTCTAGGGCTCGCCCCCTGGTACATCAACTTATAAGAAAAAGTCATCTGAAAATTGTCACACATCGGAAAAAAGTCAGAGTCGGTAACATTCTTTCGAAACTCTAACGCCCTTCACCCCCCAGAACTTGCGCGCTGGTGCTACGATGGAAAGGAGAAATAGAACAATCAATCGTTATTATTTGGCGAACGACAAAAGGACAGGAATCAACATCTACATCTGTTTCCCCTAGCATATCGATCCGATGTATACAGAGCGACGAAACAAACTCTCGCAAGCGTGTTGCCAAATGTTCAACGACCTTAAACAAGAACTAGACGGCATTCATAACTTGGTGCACGATACATTACAACGGTATGCTCTTGCACATCTAGTGTAACGTCACAGCGTTACTCTATATTCTGTGGCAAAATTACGCTTCTAAGAGGGGGGGCTCATTTTGGTGAGATCACGAAGTAGAAACAAGACACGTCTGCGTTGTCGACAGAATACTCTAATCCCATTGCGTAGCCAGTGAATGTCCCGAATAATAGCTTTGGTATTTAAAAAGAAATTCGACCAAGTGGATAACGGACGTGTCCTTTACTACTTAGTGACGAAAGTGTTATACGTTGACAAACCGGATTATCGAATGATGTGGAACATCTTGGAGAAAGACAGGTACACGAATAGTTGTAGTACCTAAACTAGCCAGTGGTTAGATGGTCTCGATTGGCACAAGGTCCGTAGTATGCTAGAGATAATTTTCCGCGAAACTGGTATGGAAATCTTGGTATGTAAGGGGTTCGATTTTCCTAAGACCAGCGAGAGGGCGTATATTATTTACAGAAAATGCGGTCTTTTCCACGGATTCGGAACCCATATTTATTTTATAATTACCTTGTGCAAGATAGACAGTAGACTTTTCTCATTATCCACGATTTCATCCATGTATGGTAGCGGATATCTATCCTCTATGGTATTTCTCTGGAGTCGTTCACTGAAAACCATTCATTTTCTACTGGAGAAAATATAAACGTGGTAAAGTCAAAATTTTATTTGTGAAACATTTTGTAGTATGTTTTAAAATTTCTCCGTTGGATGTCGTCATTGTCGTCCCCCTTTTAAATCTCTTAGTCTCTCATGGGTTTGTGCTTCTCCTTGTCCCCATAAAAGTGCGATTGTTAAGAACCAGACAACACTTCCGACACTTCCTATACCGCTTACCCACTAGCAACCAGATCCAGAAACAGACTACAGACCCCTATTAGAAACCGCGAAGTCCGTTTAATTTAATTTACCCAAAATCGTTCTGAAACCTTCATTTTCATGCCCTCTTTCTGTCAGGAAATTTTAGTTTCCATGACAGAGGCGGAGCAGGCCACGTTTTACAATTGGGAGCGTTAAAACCATGTCTTCGAGCTCCAATTTGTAAACCCCTCCCCTCCAGACCCCACGGTATCAATTCTTAACCGCCACTGTCTGTGCCCCCCCCCCCTTTCAGTATATTTCTGCGGACGCTCATGGTGCGGCGTCCGATTCAACCAACTTTAAATAGGAGTTGCTGGCATCGGATGGAGGTTCCTGTTAAGGGCAGTCGCCAGGTAACAACCAAACACCACGTTCCGATTTGGGAAAATAAAATTACGAGTAATTACAAACGTATATTTGACGCCATTCCGTTTTGACAGCGACAACCAGTGGCGGTGCGTGCGGCACGCCCAGCACCTGCTCCGATTCAAGGATTCATTAATATACATAATATGTTATAATATACTCCTTTAATTAAATAGACTTAAATTATTACGTGCAAACATCCCATTCAATGGAATTCTAGTGCGCGGGATTCTTAAGGAACAGCCTAGCTTTCCTACACCCTGGGGTGTAACGGGTGGTCGATTTAGGATTAAAAAGTGTTTTTTTAAATTTGTATTTTGTCCACCATAGGGAAATTTACACATACACCGCTTCATAACGAACGAGAACGAAAGTACGTCTGGTGATAACAACGTGTACGTTTTCGATAAAAGTGTGCGGTGCGAGATGAGCGAAGTTTGTCATCGGATTTTAGGTATACAAGGTTAGACTTTTGAAGGGTCGAAACGTATTATTTGGGTGTGTGAAAAAAGTATATTAGATGACTAATTAGCGAGCGATCACGTGCATTGTTTTGTGCGTGAATTTTTCTATGGTTGTAGATACATTCTAAGGTGATCATTTTAAGTATGTTGTAACTGATTTCTTAGGGAAAATGTAAAAGCAAGCAGCTATCATTTCGTTTACGAAAACTTTCGATGCTGGTTGTGGCTTCAAATCAAATAATTAACGATGGAACTCGCAAGAAGCGAATAAATCTTCAACGAAACGTAACTCGTCACTGAACGTGGTAAAAGCTGATTTTAAATTTTCAATGAAATGTAGTTCCGCGTTGAAGATGGCAAAAAGCGACGCTTTTCTTGTTAACGTCTTATTTAAGGCGAAACCTTTCTTCCGATGAATTAAAATTACAACAACCAATCATACACAGTTGACAACAAAGACTATCTTATCAACGCACGTTATTAGGCCAACAAAAATAGAGGTTTCTAAATCAATTTGTTATCAGACATTAAGAGATAAATCCAAATTTAAATTCTAGGAAAAATAAAATTTTATCTCTCTTAACCACACAGAAACGGCGATAAATCACATCTATCTGTCTATTAAATTAAGCATTTACTTTCGATAACAGATAAAGACCCAAAAAATTCCCGAAACTTTCTACGTTTAAATAAAATATATAGCACTATAGCACAATATCTCCATGCCGTTACATAGACCAACGACAATGAAATATCTACAAACAAAACTGGTACGATTATTTGTGCTTCTTTAGTCTCAGACGAAGGCTTTCACGTACCTTGAACGCAGTTCTTTCTAATTGCTTACAAACTACTGTAATACACCGATTATTACAACCAAATCGTTAGTAATCCTGTTCGCAGCGCCAATTGAATAAGTTAACTTTTAATAATTGGAGTTATATTTAAAAATACTGTTATGTCGTACGTGTAGTACATAATGGCTGTAGTAAATAGCTTCGCATAAACTAATACATATTCAACTCCTTTAAGTGCTTGGCAAACACTTGCAAATATCGGAGACGTAGCGTAGCGGTATCACATCACATAATCTGACAAATAAAAAGGAAACGATAAGTTAAACGGAAATTCAATTTTCTAACGTAGTTTGGGAAGTTTACTATAATACCCAATCAGCGTCTTATGCAATTACACAACTCAAATTCCCTATAAGCCAGAATAGTTCTATTTACTGTGAGTTGCAAGTAAATCCCTCAAATTAGATGTCAAGATTTTATTTTTCCTGAAAATCCACCTCTGATTTCAGATGCCAAGATGTAAATTTACCTAAACATCCCGCGCGGAACAACATGGACTACCAATTTTTAAAACGGAAACTCGTTCCTGTGTGGTACCAGCAGCGCAATCCGTGGGAGGACCTCGTTAAGATTAAGGTGTCGACGTCTTCCGTGGAAAATACGGATCTGCCGACGACGACGTGGGAAACTGCATCTGACACCATTGTATCCAGACAAAATTCAGATTTTAATGAAGGAAAAGGTGAGCGAGTTTTCGTCTGTGGAATTACTATTCATTTATGCGCCCCAATGAAATCGCATTTAGTTTTTTCAGCATAATCTACGCTGTTGTATACATTTAAAATAAACCATTTCTTGTGAGACTCCGAGATTAAAATTAGAAGCTTGTATATATTGCTCTTTTTAAGTCTACCCTTTCAGAGAAATTAGAAAATATGATAAAGTAAGAGATTTTGCAATACAATTTTATACAGGGTATCCTAAATTTGAGATATGACTTCATGTAAGTACTATCTTTATAAATGGCAACTCTAATTTTTTAAAACCATATTGTACCGACATTATGCTCCGACGTCATTTAGACGCATTCGCCAAGGTGGCAAGGACAACGACAGTCAGTCATGTTATTGAAAGGGATAGGGATAACGCGGGTCACGCCATGCTGCGAGTGGAGAAGAATCGCTATTACCCCGTCATCGGACCTTTGTCTAGGAGTTCGGTAGTATCGAACAAGTTGCTGTTCCACAGAAGATGCTGGTTAAACCTCCTACCTTTGATGGGAAAACATCATGGCCTACTTATGCAGCGTGACAGTTTGAGGCAGCCGCTGCTGCAAATAAATGGAACCACGCTGCTCTCATGTTGGCATTGCGAGGAGACGCGTTGAACGCGGTGCTAACAATCCCCGAACCACAGCAACGTTCTTGCCAGATATCGGTTGGAAATGCGTTGCAGCGAGAAGCACCTCCAACAGGTAACTGAAGAACCGCCTGCAGAAGAAGCAAGAAATCTTGCAGGAGTTGAAAACGGATATCGCCAGATTGATCCGTCTAGCCCACCCATCAGCACCAGAAAGCTTCTAAGATCAACTAGCCGTGCCAACCTTCATCAATGCTGTACGAGACAATGATGTCCAGTAAGTATTAAGGCTAGCAAGGCACGGGAGGATCAAGAAAGCCCTTGCTTGGGCGTCAGAATTCTCAGCAGCAAAAAAGGTGTCACATATGGAACCCATCGCGTGCGAGATGTGGAACCTAGGGAAACATAACGTTGAATTTTTAGTGTACACCCCTCTAAATTAATGTGAATTAACGTTTGTTAATTAGAATTAACGTGAATTAATTTGAATTAGAGAGAATTCAACGTGAATTTTCATTTACGTGAATTTGAGTTAACGTAAATTAATTTCATTAGCGTGCATCAATTTGAAGTAACTTTAATTTACGTGAATTAATTCGAATTTGAATTTCATAAAATGGTACTTGTTTCCCCCTAACGTGGACGCCAGTACCAAAGGAGAGCAACCCAGTGAACTTTTCGAAAATTAAAATTAAGAGTAGACCATCATGATCAGCGTTTATTCAAGAAGAAGAAATTACGTTGCTGAGCATGCGATAGGACTAGTCATCTAAGAAGAAATTGCTCCCGATTTACAAAGGCTAGTAACAGCAACCAGGAAAACGAGAGGGTTGATGTGAAGGAGCAAACCTCGACTTACCTGCGTACTACCATTTGAGTTTATATGTGGATTGAACCGTGATGGAAAAAAGTTGTTCATTGACTGGTCCGACCAGAACAATAGTGCGACCTTACCTTGTGAAAAATAAGAAACCGATATCATTCACCCTTAGGCTTCAAGACTGGGTTCAATACCGGAAAGAATCAAGTGCTGGTGCTGGTGGCTGATATGACGAATGAGATGATCTAGGTGATCTGGATTTGAAGATTGGAGTAATGAAGAAGTTGCAGTACGCCAAGAAGTTGTAGAAAAGGTCTATGTAACGCTTGATGAAGACGTTACTTTGCCCGAACGAAGTGAGAAAGTCGTACTAGCGTCCATGAATGGTGATGCGCTGGGCAAATAATATACTGGTTTCTCGCCACCCAATTACAATGACAATCAACTTAGTCGCGGTGTTCTGGTGGCTAAGATGGCGATCGACAATAGACGAACACTCCTGATTAGCGGTCGCCAAGGAAACCACGTCTATAGTAAATAACGAGGTGCAGTGGTCTGCTGTTGACACTTGACAGCGATCGTCAACGGCGGCCGTCGACGGCTCCTATCGTTCAAGAGAGGTACGTAGTTAGAAACGTGTGAACCGGTATCTTCGTTAGTTCGATGTGTAGAAACCACCGGCTGAAACAAATGCATTAAAAATATCTAACCTATGTTAGACAAGTGGTGCTGCAAATTGACTAAGAATCAAAGAACCATGGCACAGAATCTGATTCACAGCTAATAGCTATCGACATGTGTTTTCCTCAGAAAAAGGGCTAAGAGGTAAAACTAATATCGTGACCTATAAGGTCAGTACTGCAGCTGCACAAGCGATTATAGAAAACCCGAGAAGACTGAGATCATAGGGGATGTGGACGTCACCCGTGGTGTTGGTGAAAAAGAAAGATGGGTCCACACGATTTTGAGTAGAATATCGACAATTGAATAATATGTTACCACGAAAGAAAATTACCCGTTACCAAGAATCGATGACACTTTAGATACTTTTACCGGAACTAAATGGGTTTCAACGTTGGACGTGAAGAGTGGTTACTGGCAGGTTGGATTCGAACCTCAACATCGAGAAAAGACTGCGTTCGGCGTTGGTTCGGGTTTATAGCAGTTTAAAGTTATGCCGTTTGGGTTATGCAACGCCCCTGCAACGTATGAGCGAAAACTTGGTTTGATGAACACCTTGCAACTAATTACGAAGAACTTTAACCTCTTGGCCCAGTACTGTCACAAATGCAAGACGGCCAAGAAAAAGTGATCGGATAAGACCTTATGCTCTGCTATGGAGCAATTCTCTGGTGGCCTAAAAACAGACTCCCCACAAAAACTTGCGTGGCATGCATGAACGGGCGCGATGCGAACAACGCCCACAACCGTTCATGCAGGCCCTTGTGAGTCTGCCCCCACTAGATCACCACGTGAGAGAGCAGGCCACTCTGGCATCCTTGCGTCTGAAAAATGATGGTATCGTTGATTGATAAAATCAACGATGGCAGTTCACATGAATCGATTGGCGCTATATCCTGGTCAAAATGAACCAGGAAATCAATCTGTAAAGATCGTATCACGTATGTATCGAGAGCCATCTTCTGAAGACCTTATAGCACATTATGCCACTGGCAGGAAGGCGAGATTTGTTCAACGTTCCTGCTGAATATTCCTTAGGCCATTATATTGCAAAAGACGGGAAGATGTCCCGAGTAAATGCCGTTAAGTTTAAGCTCCGTTTTGGTCGCCTAAGGGAAATATACCTGCAGCGTCCGCAGGAGGAAAAAATATGTTTTCTAAAATCTGAAGGACCTGGGGAAATTCCTCTATTACATTCGTACTCGAGACGAGTTCAGTGACCTTCCCTGTTATAACGTTATGTGGATCGTACTACAAGATTTGAAGTGATAGATGCAACTTCTAGGCATTAAAAATCTGGCGATTCCAATAGTCGACTGTGGGTTGGTCCGGTCCGGTTTGATTGAGATAATCTCGGAGATTATATTTGGCGACATCGATATAGAGATACTGTTAGAGATAGTGTTGCTATTACAGACGTTATAGAATATAGAGCAGGCGTGGGCAACCCACGGCCCGCGGGCCAGATCCGGCCCGCCGATCAGTTTTGTCCGGCCAGCTAATATAATTCATAGTTAATACTTCATAGGGCCCACAAGTTTCAAATTCTAATTTATTTATTAATTAATATGATTATGTTACACGTGCAGCATCTAGTGGACGCGATCCGAAGCTTCCAAGACGTTTGAAAGCCTAGTTAAAGATGCATTTATTGTTTCAGAGATATCGCCAGGTATTTTCCAGAATTTTCCTCGCGATAATACCGGGTGGGGCAATACAATGACACGTGATTTAGGGATTAAGAATCTTAAGAGCATAAATGAAAATTTGGATACAAACTGAAATGGGGATTTATTATCCACATCTGGCAAATTTTGTTTGCAAAATCGTGTCAATTTTCAGGAGTACTTATTGATTTTTTTTTAAATAATTTTTACGAAAGCAAAAAATAGATGAAGACCAAAAAGAAATAGATACTTAGATATTGATTTCTTTAAACATACTTTTATTTGGATTTTCAAGTGTGGCCCGTGGCGCACATAAAAAATTTTATTTTGGCCCCTTGGAAAAAAAGGTTGCCCACGCCTGATATAGAGGATTGTATTTTAAAAATATTTGGAATAATGGAACAAAGTAGGGCGCCAAAATGGTACATTTTTTAAATAGAACCCTCTGTATTTGAATGCATTTTTGAATTCTACGTGTAATTGTACGTATTTTTTATTATATGGTTAAAATCCAAAAAGCTACCAATAGTAGTTTTAAAGATAATTCTATTTTTAAGAAAAATTGGGCATTTGCAAGCGTCGGTATATATTATCATTTATCAATATTATTACTTAAATTTTGACTCCAGGTTTTATATCTTTTATTCTGGGTTAAAGTAAAAGTCAAATAAATATATCTACTATGAAACATTAAAAAAATAGCTTACAGGGTGTTTTTTTTCTAGATCCAATGTTACAAAACTTCATATTAAGAAATCTCACTTTTTTTTAATGGAACACCCTGTATATTTTTCTGTCATCTTTTAGTTCCTCCAAAAACCTTCAACTTTTGATAATAATGTCCTATACCTATCTCTGATATTTTTCAAAATATCTTGGTTTTCCTGGTTTTTATATTCTAATCTTAAATAAGTTATACAGGGTGTTTCGAAATTCGCGCACACGGACTGTGGGATGGTGTTATACAACGAAAACTGAATAAAAAGTTCCTCTACCAGTTTTTGATCATACCGGCACAGTTTTTTTCGACGTGCTGAAGCTTGTTTACTAGCAGACGGCGGATATTTTGAACAACTATAATTGTAATTACGTACTCGTCATAATTATTATAGTTTATTTTGAACCTTCTTTTGTTTTAAAACATGTGTTACTAAGTTTAACCAGTGGCGCAGCGAAGGGGGGGAGCGGAGATTTTTAAAACCGCGGTAGCTCGAAAAATAGCGGTCTGATGGAAAACTGGTAGAGGAACTTTTTGATCAGTTTTTGTCGTATAACACCAACCCATAGTCCGTGTGCGCGAATATCGAAACACCCTGTATGCAATTTACATAATAAAGAGATGGTCATGCAAAAAAAGGCAATGTTCATCTGCCTTGATCAAAGCTAAAATCATATTTATTAATTCATTTTTCTAATAATTCACTTAAGTTTATAAAGACTGGCGAATAAATTTAATAGTAAATACATAAATAAATATCTCGGTTTTTCTACTTTTATATTTTAATCTGAAATAAGTTCTAATTTACATAATAACGAGGTGGATATGAAAAAAAAATGAAACTAATATCACTGACTGGATGAAATTAGGAGTTAAATTAAATTTGTTTTGTAGTCAAATGTTTTTACTTATTCTCCAGTTTTTGGACTTTAATAAATTGTTTGAAAAATAAATTAATCGATATAATTTTCGTTTTGGATGAGATAGATAAAAATTGCCTTTTTTGCATGGCCACCTCACTATTATGTAAATTACATATAACTTATTTAAGATTAGAATATAAAACCCAGGAAAACCAAGATATTTTGAAAACTATCAGAGATAGGTGTAGGACATTATTATCAAATTTTTTTTTGGAGGAGCTAAATGATGACAGTAAAATATACAGGGTGTTCCATTAAAAAAAAGTGAAATTTTTTAATATGAAGTTCTGCAACTTTGGACCTACCAAAAAAACACCCTGTAAGCTATTTTTAATGTTTCATAGTAGATGTATTTATTTGACATTTACTTAACCCAGGATAAAAGATATAATACCTGATGGAATCAAAATGTAAGTAATAATTTTGACAATATACTGACGCTTGCAAATGCCCAATTTTTCTTAAAAAACGAATTATCTTTAAAACTACTAGCTTTGCGGATATTAACCATATAATAAAAAAGACGTACAATTACACGTACAATTCAAAAATGCATTCAAATACAGGGGGTTCTATTAAAAAAAAATGTACCATTTGGTCGCCCTACTTTGTGGACGCAGCCTGTATAATTCCAAATATTTTTAAAATGTGGAGAATATTCAACCATATCATAATACAAAAGCACTCTATCGAAAAATCTTATCTTTAAAGCATTAAGTTACTCCGCGCAATCGTTGTCTCACCCTGTAAGTAAAATTTTGCCATACCCAAGTGCCCTCCCACCCACTCTTCTGCAGAAGCTTTTGTCCATTTCAAATATGTATCTCTTATCGTTGAACAGCCTTTCGTGGATATATGAGAAGTCAAATTCGACTATTATTTTGATCAGAATCGAATCAATGCAGGAGGAATCGATGCCTTACTGTGGACAGAGTGGATCTTGGTCCTAAGGAAACTACAGTAATCCCCCGAACCCACGGGGCTCAGATTTCTGTACTCAGCGTTGAAAAAGTTGGAAAGATTTCAGCGATAACTTGCATGTAATTATACCATGCGTTCTAAATCCAACGAATAAATGTAGTCGAGATTACTAAACGCAGTTGGCAAAATTGACCAGTCACTTTCAGACCTCGATAAAAGTTCGTGGAATCTTTAAGATCCCTTAAGCAACAGAATAACTCAGCAATCGGGGTCATTGTACGTCAGGCCTATTTTGTTAGTTAATAAAACGAAAAAGGGGGAGGATAATATCTGCGTAGTCTACAGGAATTTTAGCACTAAGACGAACAGATGACTTTATGGACAATCTTCACTACTCTAGATTTGGATTCTGGTTATCATTAGATTTCACTTGTAAAAGACTGTCAAAAACTGCCTTTATCGCGCCCTGTGACCATTATGAATATTTGCGTATGCCTTTTGGTCTAGTCAACGCTCCTCTAGTATTCCAGAGAGCTGTAAATGAATTACTGGGACCGTTACGCTACTACAAAAGTGCTATAGTGGTATATAAATGGTGTTGTGTTACTGTCTGTGTTAGTCTGGCAAGGGTTGGAGCGACTGGGCGAAATGATGAGACTTTTCAGGGACGCTAAATTATGGCCTTAGGTTGGACAAAAGTCATTTTCTTCACAATACCAAGCATTTAGGCTTTATCAAACCAGGACGTTACAATATTAAGGCGGTTGAGGATTTTCCGGAGATGATCTGCCAGCGAAAAAAGAACAGACGGTGAATATTCATCTACTTATTTTGTCTTCGTGTTAGCTAAAATTACACGAGTGCGTGAATATTTATCAAGTTGGCCGACTGTAAGCTATTTACGTGACTTATCGCCCTTAAATATGCGGACCACGGATAAAAGCAGGGTGATGAATGGAACCGGCGAGGTGGGCAATACTGTTTTGACAGGCAACGGTCACGGTCGGCACTGTATTTATTATGCTTTGTGTTTTGGGACTTGTTCAAGTTTGTTAATTAAAGTGTGGTGTTTTAGTAAGAAGGTAAATTATAATTGGTTGTTCACTTTACGGAGCCTTCGTATCGTACGTATGTACTCAGCATGTGTTGTGGATGAGTGTTTCTAGCATATTGCTACAAGTTTCCTTATGACACAAAGTATGAAAATAAATTCTAATGTACGGTTGACACAGAGGATGATCCAAGCTAAATCGCGTGAATTTACCTACTTACCAGACGCAGTTCGATTAGGTGATATTTATCGCGTGGGAGCAATTTTTCGACACATTTTGAACGGTGTGGTTGGATAACCTCCCAGTACCTATATTTACATCGGAACCGTATTCTGAAAAACATTTTTATAAGCAAGGCAGCAACCATATAATTCACAAGGAAAATTAATGGGAGAAGGGACGAAAGCAACAAATTCTCTTCAGGCCTCCCCCAGCGCATAAACACAAAGAAAATGTTACGCGAGGAAATAATAAATTTCTTCCACGCGTCAAAAGGCCCTAGTACCGTGCGGTCGTTGTAACGATTAACAAATTTTAGACGGGTATATCTTGAAAGCTTGATTTAACGTTTCAACACTAAATCTACCCGCGCTTAATAGCGACACTTACCCTTTAATAAGCTATTCAAAGGATGAAAAAATTCAATTAGGATTTGCCCTAGTTATACTTTATAGTACGTCGGTATATTCTTAATATCGGAATAATTGGATTAGGTATAAAGTGTCGCTGCTGCTAGTCAAACGACTTCTCACTTTATTATATTCTGAGCGTTAAACGCAAATTTTCATATGGCGTTCTATGTCTTTTGAATGTTGTTATGTTTTGCACAGTAAAATCTTTAAATTTTAATAACATACAATTGAAAAATGTCTAACATTAGCAATTAAACTTACATGAAATATAGTTTACCTACCCTATAAATCTGAAGAAACTGACTAATGAATTCAATCAGTGGCGGCTGGTGGGCTTTCTATTTGGAGGGGCGCCGAGGAAAACTTCGACATTTATAAAAAGCAAACAGTTTATTTTTACATGCTCGCTTACAATGTTGGTACTTTTTTAAATGGAATTTTATCCTTCTGTTTTTACCTTAAATGAATTTTTCAAGGACTTTTTCTTAGAAGTCGGGAATGATCTGAACTAGAGTTTTTTCAGCAAAAATATCTCATATAGAAAGCCGATTAGATTTTGACGTTTTCGTAAAATTTTTTACTGAGAAATACTTACGCCGAGCCATTTTGTCACGTAACATGGTGACAAAAACATTTTGGGTGGAAATTTTCTGAAGTGTTTCTTCTTACGAAAACAATTTGATGAACGACAAAATTTAGTCACGCTATTTTTAAACACGCAGTATATTCGGCTTACATATTTATTTCCTGAATAAATATCAAATTACGCAATACAATTTGACGTTTGCAAATAATCGCTGAAGTATGGACAGTAGCCGTAGCAATTCTAATTATTTAAATATACGATGGAATTAATCAACTGACTGAGTTGTCAAATTCTTTTCCTCAGATACCTAAGTTTTAATTCATTTTCAGAAAGAGCTTTGTACAACAGTTGTAATTAGAAACGTTATTCAATTTTAAAACCTTCATTTAATTTGCTTCTGATGCAAATTTACGACTACGACGTGCCACTGCGATCGAGAAAATGATATAAATAGTTTCATGTATACTGAGCAACTGGGCTCTGCAGTTTCCGCCCTCAGTATAAATAGAAGCACGCATCGTTACCATGGAAACCACATACAGCGCCGGCGCGATAGCGTCTGCGGACTAGCTAACATCAGAGGATTTCGGGCGGACGATAGAGAGCCCTTCGACCGCGCTTTTACACGCGCTTCATTCATGCATATAACTGATTGCCCGTTTATTTTTATGTAAATAATTCGGAAATTATCTAATTTTTGAAAACAATATTTGTGTTAAATCATAAATGACCAAACATTTATAAAATGTGAAATATGTGTTACGACGTGATCTAGTGTTTCTTGTAGGGAGGGCGGCGCTCCAGAGCCCCCCTGCACGAGCCGCCACTGAATTCAATTAATCCCAATTTGATAATTTCTTGGCAAAAATAAACAAATGATGATCTAAAAATCTGTATATCAGAATTACAACAGCGTATGTGATAAAATTTTTAATTCAAAACGTTTTTTAAATGCTTCTCGCAACCCGAAATTTTTACAAGGTTATTGTAATAAATTAAATTACCTTTACTATGGCATCCTATTAGCACAGACAACTAGTATATGTTGTTTGTGCTATTTAGACAGACAACTAGTATATGTTGTCTGTGCTATTAGTAACATAAGTACATCATGTTCAATAGCAATCACCGCTTTTGTTTTCGCATTTACTAAAGTGTACTTTTCTGATTTTTTCAGATACGATATACTCCCTGGTCGCAGTGTCAATTGGTGTGATTCTCCTACTTGTTGTCATCGCTCTAATTGCCTTCAAAAGACGTAAGACCAAAATTAAAGATGAAGAGCATGTGTCCAGCATATTGGTGTATCCGTCGCAGCAGGGCTCCTCCATACCTCAGTTACTGTAAGTGTGACAATGTTTTAATATACACTTTTTGAGTTAAATTTAATTCAGACTGGGAGCTAAGGTTTGGAATATCCTCTTGCAGGATCGCACCTGACTTTTACGGATTTTTACGGTTCAAAAAACTACCTTGCGGTAATCTATAGGATGATTGAGTTCTTTCGCGGCTTAGTCTGATTTGTCCTACGACTTCCCACCAAGAGCTGATGCTACAACAACCGTTATATGAAATTGTCATTTGCGTGTTTTTTTGCTGACCTTTTGTTCCACGCGGAGTAGATTGTGGTGTGTGTTAAGAAATCTCATTGGACGAAAAAATTTGTTTCGATTGGCGAACAAGGTTTGAGTCACGGAATGAGTGTGATTTAAAAAAAAAAGTTGTAGGAATTGAGTTGTAGGTCGAGAGCCGTGGGCCAACGCGCGTTAAGCCATGCTAGTGCTCGAGTCGAGCCGTCACGCAATTTCAATTAAGTCGCAGAGCAATTCGCGTCGAACTGGGAGAAATTATCGTGAAGTGTCAGCGAGGTTAAGTCGGTCAGTCGTAGGTAACCGTAGGGTTTGCTTTTTGAAGTGGCTACTGCTTATTAATTATACACTAATTAGCTTGTCGTTGTGGCTTAGTGACAAGCTCGCCGTTTCTCGATTTACAACGGACGATAATGCGGGTTCGATTACAAGAGCGCGCGTTTTTTTTCTATAATACATTTTGAATTCCGGTCGACACCGCAAAATTATGCCGACCACACGTGTAAATATTACTTACAGAGAAGTTGGGTGCGCCGCCAATAGAAGAGTACGTTCAAATCAAACGCGAAAAGGTTCCGAATTAAGGTTTTTCAGTTACCTTAACTTTGATGGGATATCCCGGTTGAGAAATAATCGCGGAAATACGAACAACAAATTTTAACCCATAAATATAACAACGGCATTTGCTACGAAAAAGAAAAACTATTACGATAATTCCGAACTGTAGTGGAATTTTAACTCACAAAGATTTGAAATCCTGTGACTTTAAGTAAAGTTGGTTTGCGAAATATCGGATACTACTGCGAGCATGGATAACGGTGTAAAATAAGACACACGGAAATAAATCATCGTAATGTTTTAAAGGGAATGGACTAAGAATAAAACTACCCAACGTAATTTGTCGCCCTTCTGCAGTGATTGACTTTCTCCAGATAACATTTTTTTAAATGACATTGACGCTTACCGTCGAATTACGTAATTTATGGAGTAATCGTGATGAAAATTCCAAGTTAAAGCAGCCAAATCTCAATCTTGTCTCTCCATATAGTTCCTTAATGATGTTCTTCTTGTCTATTTGCCTCTCTTACATCACCATCCGTACTTTTTCCTTTTCGGTCTGTCAAACGCAGCCCTTAAGTCCATGAAAACGTGAGCCGCGATTCACGTCTCCCTCTGCTATTTAAAACATTCTTCCTTCTCTCAGTTTCCGCCTCGCCTCTACTTGAACTTGGGTATTAGAAATTGAACACATTTTCTTATCGGCGAAATCTGCATATCTGAAAACTAATTAGCTTACAAAGCGATAACAAATTTCTTATTGCAACGACCGGATTTAAATGAGATAACTAATTCAAATACTATGATCGAAATGGTGTTCAATCTCATATTAACGATCACATTTACGTTTAAATTGAAATTCACCCATACAGGGTGAGCCGTCAGTCTCCCCCTGCTATTTAAAACATTCTTCCTTCTCTCAGTTTCCGCCTCTGCTCTACTTCAACTCGCGCATTAGAAATTAAACACCTTTTCTTACCAGGCGAAACCTGCATATCTTGAAACTAATTAGCTTTCGAAGCGATAACAAATTTCTTATTGCAACTACCGGATTTAAATGAGATAACGATTGACTTCTAATTCAAATACCATGATCGAAATGGTGTTCAATCTCATACTAACGATCACATTTACGTTTAAATTGAAATTCACACATACAGGGTGATCCGTCGTTATTACAGGTGCTGAAGCCAAACAAAACATCCACAAGCCGTAGTTTCCACAACAACATAATATTCCTCTCCCATTTCTGAAGCCGATTGGTGTTTCCTCCAACATCCTCTTCTCTTCCATTTCTCTTTCTAATCTTTCATTCGGTACCATTGCATAGATTCTATACGCCGTCGTCATTATCGTGATTCCCCTATAATTTTCCACCCAATCTCTTTTAAAAATCGGCCCTTCCTTCCATTCTTTGGGTAAAACTCCTCCTTTCCATACCTTCTTTACTAAATTCCTCATCTTTTCCTTAACCCTATTTGTGGCGAAAATACAAACCTCATTTCCTATTTCGTCGCTCCCTGCTGCTTTCCCTTCCTTCAGCCTTTTTAATTGCTGCTCGATCTCTTTTGTTATTTCATCTACATTCACGTACCTCTTCCATAGCCTCCTCTTTCCTGCTTTCCTTGATCTTAATCAAGTGTGATTTCCAATCCCCTAGTTGTGTTTCCCTCCCGCTTGTTCTATTTCTCTCTTTCATCTGTTTATCACCTTCCAAATCTCCTTTGTTTTTATTTCCCTGATTTGTTCTTCGTATTCATTCTGTTCCTCCATTTTTTGTCTGTACATTTTCTGTTGTACTTTTTTTCTTGTTTCTTTGACCTTGTATCTGTTTCTCTTTTCTGTTCCACAACTCCTTTCATTTTGTTCTCTCCCTCTTTTCAATTATTTGTTTCCCCGTTATTGGTTTTATATTACTCTCAACTCCTCTATACTCCCTCCTATTTCTTTTCCTTGTTCCCCTAGTCACCTATAGTCCACTGTATCTCTTGTTCCTAATTGAATCTCTCCACTTTTTTCCTCTTTACTTTTCTTGACTTTCTTATCTTAATGTTTAAGCTTATTTCCATCGATTGGTGATCCGATTCTATATCCTTGTTTCTTCCCTATTATATTCTTTCTTCTAGCATTTTTTCGTTTACTGGTATGTAATCAATTGCCCTCCCATGGTCAATTGACCGTCCCTATCTCTCTGCTCCTCCATTTACAATTCTCGATCCTCCTTTTTCGGATAATCCCAACACTGCTCCCTCTTTGCTGGCCTCTTTATTTCTTCATTTTCTTTCCCGTGCCCCATTGGTGTAAAAATAGGTGTTGCTAACGTAATTTCCGTGTGAATATCAAAAATGGTGGTCGCGACACCCTATAATTCCTATATGTAACATCATTCACAAGACCTGGGAATTTTTATATTTCAAAGAGACACAGAATGTGAAAATTTTGTTGAATTATCAGCTTTCTTATTGTAAATTTAATCGGTAATTGTTTAATTCATTTAATTCTATTTCTTGTATTTAGTTTGTATCAGTTAAATTGAAAACCCCATAAATAAGAGACCATTTAATTTTAATTTTCATGTGAGTTAAAGGTTTTATCTGGTCAGGTGATACTCAAAAGTTATTATCGGACAAAATTAATAATTTTGCGATAAACAATGCCACGAGCAAGATAAGAAATGCAGTTGGTTATCAGTTCGGGCGACGATGCGGAATTTCGAGTGTCACCGGGGAACAATATGGAAGTGGGTTCTCTCTTAACTAGCAGGAATTAAGAATAAACGAGACCGTCTCGGATTATTTTGAAGGAGAGTGTAAAACAGAAAAAGGACACAATTGTGTAATTTGAACTAGCTTTTGGGTGGTATGGTGACCGCATACCATTGCACACAGCAATATATTTTGTTGAAATTTTAACGACAGATGCTTCTAATAAAGGCAAAATTATCGCATATTGTAATCAGGTGTGCGCATGTGCAGACTGCGTAATTCCAAACCTTTTCTTTATTAAAATATTGTTATGCTTATATTAAACGCAAACATATCGCATATAGCAACAATCAGATGTGCACATGCGCAGATTACGTAATGCTAACTCTTATTTATGGAGACATTTCTTTCATATTTTAGCCATAGATACTTCTAGTAAAAAAATATAGTGCGTGTAGCTATGGCCTTTTGGGAAATGAATGAAAAATGCGCTAAAGTTACTCGCCTTTGGGCGAAAACCAATTTTTACTTGTTTAACTATTTCTCCGTCTTTCTTTCTCTTTTCTTATTTTCAACTTTTACTCTTTTTAATGTTATATTATTCCTTACCTTTGTCTCATTTTTCCTCTCCATCAGTTCCTATTTTTCCTTATCCGATAGCTCTTCCCTTCATTCTCTCATTCTGTTCATTTTCTACGTTAACCCTCTGATTTCTTCCCTCATGGTCCTTTTTCAGTTTATCTATTTGTACTTTTGTTTCCTTTGTCTTATTCCCTCACTTACTCCTAGCAGTTATTCCATTCATTTTTTTCAGGTTTTCCGTTTCCCTTGCCCTCACTTCACTCCACCTTCGGTGACACGTTGTTAAATAACATTGTAAACGCCTTAGGTAGCTACTGTTGCACTTTAATTTCGTAACGAACATTCTTTGTTGCCAACCCTCTGAAGACCTTCAATTGTTAGTGATTTCTTTTACACAAATTTACTCTTCCTGAAATCTTCTATTTTCTCTCAAATTATTTGGCCTTCTCTTTCCTCTCTTCCTGATCAAAGGGATCAGTGAGACTTTGGTGAAGTTAATACAAGATGACCTGTATTCTCACTGTGGAGATTTTGGATTAAGGGTAATTGGTCGCTTAGGCGGGCACCCCAAAAGTGACCTGTTGGAAGTGCCAGCAGCAAGGCCATCGGTCATCACAATATCATCCTGTGACCTTCCCCTATGTAAACATTGTTTTAAATGTGGTAGTAGGGACGTATCAGTACGTTATTGCCAACAATGTCAACGTGACGGTCGGAGAAACCGAAACCGACTAACGCGCTGTTCTCCTGACTACGCCGCAACTAAAAATAACATGCGACACCAGGCATTTTAAGTCAGGCTGAAGGTGATGTCACAATTTTCCTAAGTCTATTGGACTCCGGAGCTTCTAATGGAAAACCATCGTAAAGGATGTATTAGTCATCCCTTCGATCCACCAAGGTCTTGTTCTTAGGGCCAAGAAAGTGGCTGTTGTACCAAATTTTCGTCAAGGCGGCGCTTGCAAATTCGCTTATGAGAATAACTCAGATAAACGCAATTCAACCTCTCTCCTCCTTAAATGATGCCCATCTAGTACAATTACATCATTTGATAGAGAATTGAGAGTACACTGAAGAAAATGGGAAATAGGTCATAGAAAGGTAGTTGATGGAGAGCTTGACAAGATGCTGGAAGCTGATGTGATAGAATTGTCTTCACCAGTCGTCATGGTGCGGAAACGTGACGGTAGCTACAGATTTTGCGTCGACTTTCGTAAGTTAAACAAAGTCGGTGAGCCAGATGCATATCCTCTCCCATACGTTAGCCATACCATCGAAAAACTGCATGATGCACGATTTCTCTCCACCCTGGACATTAAGTCTGGTTACTGGCAAATTCCAGTCGCCGAATCTTCACGTCAGTTTACTGCCTTTATCGTGCCAAATCGGGGACTTTTTCGATTTAACCGAATGCCCTTTGGGATTCACAACGCCCCTGCCACTTGGTAGCGTTTAATTGACCGTGTCATTGGATCTGATTTATAATATGTTATCATATGATAATATGTACGTCCACCTTTGACCATAGATAGATTGCTTTTGTGAGTCAGAACTTCGATACCGGGGGTGTGTGGTAATTGCCAAAGGTCTTCTAGTGGATTCTGAAATGGTTGATACCATCTTTAAAATTCCAGTAGCATCTAATTGTCATGAATTTCTTCTGATAATAGGCCTGTGCTCTTGGTATCGGAGATTTATTCCATATTTGTACCTTATAATTGCACCACTGATCATGCTAACACGAAAGAATCATAAATTTAAATGGTCCGACGTACCTAAAAAAAATTATGGGCGGTCGAGATAAATGACACCTAGGCAACAAAATAGATTCAATTGCCACGTAAGTCACATAAACACCGGCGTAATTCTGAATGAATTCTCAGATTCAAAAGAAAACTGAAAGCGAAACGGAAAAATTACACAAACGCATCTGTAAATTGAAGGTAAATCCGACACGGAACCGATGTTAGGATAATGGGATAAAATCGTAACGGGTTCGTGAACGCTCCTTAGTGCGTGAAATGGAACTAATGAAATTGAGTAGGGAATGATAATGCAATGAAGCTCCAAGCTCCCGTTTCTGAATTTAGTACACGACCACAATCACGCGTTTTACCCACACCTGAAAAATTGTAATACTAATTTGAATCTTTTTCAGAACAAAAGATATCGACTTCAGTCTTCCACCCCTACGCAGCACCTCATTAGGAGATCTGAACGAGCCGGAACGTGACGACGATTCCGATTACGATACCGACACCTTACTCTTACCAAGCAGTCATAATCAACGCTCGCACTCGTTTAGTAAGTAACGACATTAATTATTGAACAAATCTGCCACAGCTATAGCCCTAAAAAAATGAGACCGTCATGCGCCTCCCTCGGCGCTCGTCTGTCATATCTAATTATTCCAAATTCCCTACCGTAATGGATCGCGACGCCCCTAAAACGTGTAACAAATCGCTCAGAATATTACATAAACGTTGGTGTACTGTTAATTAGTTTGGGCGACAAATTCGCCTTCATTTCTGACGGGTTATTTACACGGAACACAATGCCCTATTTTAAATATTCATTATTTTTAGCTCGGGGGTCAGTTATACTGTTGAGAACAAAAAGGTTTCGGCTTTAATAGTCGTGCTGGGAAATTACAGGAAGCTATATTATTTATAACTCGGATCATCGTTTGCTTTAAAAAACGACGTTTGCTGCCGACTTAATCCTCTTTTTGAGCTGATATTATCCTATCAACGCAATTTTCATACGCCGCCCGTACCTTTGAAAACCCACAATTTGAAATTCTACAACTTTAAATAAATGATGGGTGCTCGTCAAGTACCTACTTGCAATTTTTATAAGCATTTAAGCTCTTGAGGCTGTATAAGGAACGAATTCAATGTTGTACATACGTGTTCCACTATAAAAATCGATTTTTCTTTATTTGTTCCTTTGGGCCGAATAGCTCAGTGGCGATTACTTCGAATTGTAGGGCGGGTGTAGGTGTTTACAGTAATCGTGCTAGTTTTTGGTAGGCAGTCTTGACAGTTCGAGCATATTCTATGATTTGTTACTCGTGGCGTCCAGTATAGTACCTATCCTGGTAGTTATTCTTAAATTAAACTTTTCCTTGATTAATCATACAAAAGATTGCTATCCCCCCCCCCCCCCACTTTCCATTACTTCTCTTTTTGTAGTGGGACGTATACCGTTTCCACCAGTAGAACTAATTTTAGGTAGCCAATCAGATTGCTTGACTGCCCTACATCCTGAGTCTTTTCCCGCTGATCTTGCAAAACCCAAACTATACGTAGCTGTCTGGATAACGACCACTGCAAAATATTCCCGTAATAACAAAATCGGCAGATTTCACGACTTACCGGCGCCGTTAGCTTTCAAACGCGTTTAAAGAATCAACGAAACAACTTAATAGTATTTTACATTATTAGCCAGGTAAGTGAGTTTTTACTGGCGATAGGAGAAGTTGACTGGCGAGCCGTTAGGCGAGCCTGTCATCTCCTAGAGCCAGTAAAAACTATTACCTGGCGTATAATGTACAATATTTTATTTGTTACTCATTTGTAAACGTAAATAATTAGTTCTTAAATTGATCTTGAAGAAATGTCTAAAATATCATGTGATCCATGTAACAGAGACTTCGCATTAATTCTGGCCAATGAAATTACTAAATTACTAACTTGTAAAATTTTTACAGGTCTGCTGTCAGTTTTACAAGTCTGCCGTCAGTTTTACAAGTCAGTAGCGTTTAAACATGACGTTTACCCGTTTGCGTTTTGTCTTGTTAATCAACAACAACTGAGTAACAAATAAAAAAATTAACAAATGATGTATAGGACTACTATTGACCAAAATTGTCTCAATCGGGAAATTTATCATAATCGGTAAAAATTAAAAATCAAAATCTGGTCATTCCATGAACACTCGCGCGCATTGTCCTAATTGACCGGTTTAGTCGCGTTTTACGACACGTAATGTCATCTGGGGTAAATTTAGGACAATACGTTCGATGGTGCCTTTGGGGTACTGGCACGGGTCGGTCCGAAATGTGAAATGTGCTGTTGGATCTGCTTGGGTAAAAATGGGAGCTCAGCTTTGGAGCGATTCCAATGTTTGAAAGGCCATCCTTTTTTTTTTGGTCCCCAAGTCTACTTTTTCTTTAGCAGAAATGTTAGTGGGCGCGAATTGTGGCACGAATTGGCAATACCAAAGCATGTTTCCAGGAATAAAGTCAAACGTTTGAGGTTTCGTGGGCTTGGAAGTTTCACACCATGGCTTCCGCATTGGTAGGATAGGTGGTCATTCCGGCAGCGGTGACCTTTTGTACATCTGGCCTTTGGTTTGAAATGCCGCATCCTTGAGAAAATTTCACAAAAATCGTACAGGTGGGCTAGGACTGTTATTTCCATGGAATTGGCCTACCTTCGGTCGCTGGAGCGTTTCTGGTTCCGAAGGGCATCCGTTTTTAGCGGATTTGTTTCAAGTCACCATATAGAGAGAGACTTATCGGCGCAACCTCTTACGGGGTGAGTGCGACAAGGTGTCTGTGAATGGCAACGCCCAACCGGCATCCACAAAGATTTCCGTGGCCATTTTTTTTGTTGTACTAGGGAATAAGATATACGTACAAGAGCGAATTTAGCTCAGTTCAAGGCCGCTCAACACATGGCGGTGAAACTCAAGGGCACTCTACCCTTCACCCAAGCGCTTTACTGATGTTGACCTTGGAAAGTTTGTGACCTTCGAAAGTAGACTCAAGGATAGCTCGTCCTCAAAGGTCAATTACCCCATTTTGTGGTGTTATATTGCGTTTTCATTTTCATATTTTGTTGTATTTCATTTTTAAGATTATCAAAGTTCAATGACCTCCTCTTATTGCGATGCCAGATTTCGCTTTCAAAGTCATCAAAGGTCAAAGTACTTAGTAATGTGGTTCATCTCTTTATTAGTTATCGTGAAGTGAACGATCATAGGAATGGGTATGGAAGCTACTAGTTAGTTAACTAGTTTCAAAGAACTATTTAACTGGGTATAATTAGTATTAAACAATCTCTTTAGGAGGTGACAATGTGGCGTTCAAAGGTCAATTCAGTATTCTTTACCCTAAATGACTATTTGTAGACTAAAGGTTAGTTCAAGGATAGGTCATTAGGATTATTGATCCACTTTGAAACTGAAATGACAGGAAATGGGGGTCATTGGCCTTTGTTAGCCTTTAAAATGAAATAGAATACCACAAAAATGAGGGCATTGGGCCTTTGATGACTGACAATAAAATATAATAATGCTATTCTTTAGTGTCAAGGTCATATGACTGTAACTTTAAAAAATAGAGGTCATAATAATTAACAACGACATTTAAAAGCAAATAAAGACCATAACGAACGATTTTTCAAAAGGACAGTGAAGTCTTAGGGTGAGTGTGTGGTGTAATTTCTCGTCAGTTCAAAGTTTGACTTGTTTAGTGGAAAGAGGTTGCGATTATAAGGCCCCCCGCATTCATGTGTATCGAATAACGTTAATTACGTCATGCATAACGTATGCTGAGCCGTCGTGTGTGATTCCCATTGAAGGATAACAGGAATGTCCATAGTCAATTCCATAAAGTGAAATTCAGGTCTCCTCCTGACGAGGACTTTCAGAACTACATTGTAGCCTAAAAAGTTATCGATCTTCGAAATTAAGTCAGTGTAAAGGTTGGTCGCCGTTCAAAGTCGAAAGTTTGCTCACCGTGCAAATTCCAAAGGTTGATAGTTTTTTAAAGTGCAAAGGTTAAACATACTTTTTAAATAACTTATCTGCTTCGATGGCTGCATTTGTAATTCGTTAACCGGTTATAAAGGTGTCGTGTATAAAAAGAAGACGCAGGTACGCCGGCTACAAAACTATGAAAATAAAAACTTCTTAATTTAGAACATTTTTTAAGCCAACTTAGTTGAACTAAAACAAATATGTCATAGAATAATGAACTGTAATGAAAGAGCATTAAATATAAACGTCTGCACACTATACAGGTTGATTCAAATTCGAGGGCCACCATGGGGATCTCGGGAACTGTAAGGTAGGTAGTGTAAATTTGGCAAAACAAAGCTTGTTTAGACATAATACTCCGCACACAGGTGGTCGATAATTAAAAATCTTATATTATTTAGATTTTTTTTCAATAATCTCGGTAATCTACACCCTCTGATACGGACAAACCGTGTTAAAAACTTTCCACAAACAACCACTTGACGATCACTTAAATCTTTTATTAAGATTGCTTAACTTTGGCGCACTTTATTTCAATTAAACAAATAGGGCGAACTGCTCGAAATTTAAGGCAACAAAATTTACACGTTCTTTAACCGTCGGAGAACTCGTAGAACTCGAGAAATACGGCTCTCACTACACCAAAATCTCCTTCAAGAAATTTCAAATAACTCGCCAATCACAACGGACTTTATAACGCCAGCTTCGAAAGAACGCGCGAAACGTTCCCACTTATGCCGAAATAGTGCGCAATTCTTTGAAACTCTTGTAACAGAAATAAGAACACGTGCGTTAGTTAAATTTCGTCTGATCCTTATCGCAAAACAACCAGATTTTATAAATAACGCAAACTTGTCCAGATGTGCCTAACTTAAAGCATCTTATCTAAATTGAACAAATTAGAAGAGCCATAAAATTTAAACAAAAAGATATTACGCAATTACAAACAATCCTAACATGAAAATATACACTGAGATAACAAATTCAAGTAAAATAAACCAAGCTTGTGTTTATACGTAACTCCAAATAATCCCCCAGATTTACACTTAATAAATTGAAATATTGTCATGTACAGGGTGTTCCGTCATTACCTTTGGTGTTTAACATCTAGATGACCTTGTTTACACAAGAATATGCGATATGCCTACTTAAAAAACCAATCTCAATGCATGGAATAGATTGCTATAGGCACGAACATGAGTTGTTTAAAATTCTTGTGTCCTTCAAGATTTTAATAATGCATTCCCCAAACCCGTTTTATCACTCTTCTCGAATTTTATGAAACCCCTCTCTACGCTTTCCGTTTTAAATTAAGCACAAAGTTCGGGGTGACTTCATGAATCGCTCACGTGACTTTTGCAGATCTTCAGGAGAAATGTTATTACGTGTAAAGTTGGTTGCCTATAACTATCTATTCCATGCATTGACACGATGTTTTTCAAGTGTGCGTAGTCCATAATATATAATATAATATGTATACATTTAAGAAAAATTCCAAGTATAACTTTTTTTACGGTTAATGTAAAATATGCAGAGTGGGTAAAATCCGTAAGAGCATTTGTAACGTTAGCGTTGAAGTCAGCTGGCCTGACTCGAAAGGGGAAATTCCAGTAATTTCTCCCGCCACATTTTTAGAGGAAAGTCAAATTTGGGAAGGGGATCATGCACTCGTGTCGCGTTATCGCGTATACTGATACTGATGTACTGCATTATACAATATTGAATATGCATTCACGATGCAATAATCTTCTATACCGCTGACCGTAAAGGACAATATTTCTCTTTTCCCTTTGTAAGTATGTAATTAGAATTACAAATACAAAGAGAAAAGCAAAGACAACTCAACGCTTATTAAAATAAAATGTAGGTATAATCATGTAATCCAGTCAAATTACCGTTTGGGCTGGATCTGGATGTTCTCATTTCACTCAACGAAACCAATTGTACCTACTGTATGTAAAAAAATCCGCTGAATCTGAAAATCATACTCCCGGAACATTTTGTTATAAAACAAAGAACGAAGAAAAAATGGCAAAATGTCGTTTCTTTTCGCATTTTACTTCAATTATCTCGTTAACTATTGCTCTGAGGGAAAAAATGAATAGAAATGAATTTGTTTATACTCGAATTGTCTATAAGATACAGTTGGTATGGAACGTTCATTTTTAAAAGTTATTGTTTTTTATGGCAAAATATAAAAAAGTAATCCCGAAAATTAACAATCTACGAGCCCTAAAAACTAATTGTTAAGACAAGCCGTTTAATGTTTCCGTTATTATCGAGCTCCTAGCGAGTTTATAATTTTGCGATGTCTGTCCGTCCGTCCGTTAGCGTTATATTTCGATAACGGATGGATGGATTACGATAAAATTTTGTAGGTGGTTTCTTTATCAAATTTGTAGATCGGAGTTCGTGAGTTAGTAATGTAGGTCAAAAAATAAGGAAGGCCCTTTTGATATCTCCGTTAATTATTAACCGAATGGTGTGAAATTTAATATGGGCATAGCTCTAGCCATATAATACGCAATTCCAAAATTTGAGTCTAACCCATGCAACACTCACAGTGCCCTTTTCACATCTCAACCATTTATGAAACGAATTGCAAACTTTTTTATTTATGAAGGTATGTATATGAAATTTGATACATATACGCACTTGGAATAAAATCAAATCTAATGCCGGTTCAAAATTCGGTTTTACGCATGCCAACTTTCTTATTTATGAAAGCATTTAAATGAACTTTGATACTTAGACAATTGGAATAAAAGGAAATGGTGACAATTTAGTCCACATATCTGCCAGTTTTGACTTTAAATCTGGAACTGTTCTCTGGGGATTATTTAGTAACTGCTGTTTCATCTTATGCCAAAGGGTTTCAATAATATTTAGGTCTGGGCTACTAGAAAGTAGAAGGCCATGACAGAGCTGTTATCCCATTCTCAGAGAGCCATTTTGAGTTGATTTGGTTGTATGACAAGAGGCTCCGTCTTGCTGGAAAACAAAATCTTTTTCGCCATACAGCTTATTGACACTCGGGAGAACTCTATTCCTTAATATTTTTTGATATTTCTCTGCGTTTACAGTACCGTCGATAACTTCAAAGTGCCCCAAACCTTTTGCTGACATACATCCCCATATCATAACGCCTTTTGGGAATTTTACGGTACGTTTAATACAACATTGTTTTGTTTATTGTTTTTTATCGAAAAATATAAGAAATAAATTCGCATTTTGTTATTACTAAGTAAAATTCATCCCATCTTTTTGAAAATCCGTATTTGGTCATTTCTTTTGATAACAAAAAATATGACAAACCCAATCACCATAATTTTCATACGAGGTTTCATAGTCATTGCATGATTGAATAAACAAATTAAAAAAAAATTATGCTTTGTCTTTCAAACTGGGTAACTCCCAGAGCGTTTATAATGTTGTTACAGATAGTGGAACCCTATTTACAAAAATTGGCCCGATGATTCTTGCAAGAAGACGGGCTCTGGAATTTTTTTAGTTAACTAACAAATGAAATAACTCCCGAAATATAACAAGAACGGTAACTCTATAATAGGCCCTTGGCACTCTCATTAGGTAATAGAAATCGTACATTTTGCTCCAATAGAAGCATAAAAAAGTTCACGTTTTAAAGAATCGCTTGATGCGACCCGAGCATGCGACAAAGCATCGTTTTTTAAAATTTGTTTATTTAAATAAACTAAACAAATATAAAAATCGAGCTCTTGGGTATGGCTATAGCATGTGCAAAACCAAATTTTAAACCCGATGTCAGTTTTGCTTTTATTTAAAGTGTATTATGTGTTATGTATGTATGAAATTTCATTTTATTGCTTCCATAAATAAGAAAGTTGGCATTGCACGTCCTACACAAAACCAAATTTGGAAAATGGCGCTACATTTGTTTTTATTCCAAGTGGCTATGTATCAAATTTCATTTGAATGCCTCCATCAATAAGAAAGTTGACACTGCGCATGCGCAAAACCAAATTTTGAAACTGGAGTTAAATTTGCTTTTATTTCAAGTAGTTATGTATCAAATTTCATTTAAATCCCTCCATAAATAAGAAAGTTAGCACTGCGCATGCGCAAACCGAAATTTTGAAACTCGCGGTAAATTTGGTTTTATTTCAAGTGCCTATGTATCAAATTTCATTTAAATACCTTCATAAATAAAAAAGTTTGCAATTCGGATTATAAATGGTCGAGATGCGAAAAAGGCACTGTGAATGTTGATCGGTTAGGCTCAATTTTTGGAATTGCGTTTTATATGGCTAAACCTATACGCATATTGAATTTCATGCAATTCGGTTCATCACTAACAGAGATGTCAAAAGGGCCTTCCTTATTTTTTGACCTACATTACCAATTCACGAACTCCGATCTACAAACTTGATAATGAATCCACCTACAAAATTTCATTGTAATCGGTCCATTCGTTATCGAGAAATCGTGGTAACGGACGGACAGACGGACAGGTACCGCAAAATTATAAACTCGCTAGGAGCTCGTTCAGTGGCTGTGGCACCTACGGTGATCGGGTTTGTCTTATTGTTTTGTCATCAAAAGAACTGACCAAATACGGATTTTCAATTGATCGGATGAATTTTACTAGTAAAAACAGATTGTTAATTTTCGAGTTTTCTTTTTTTATATTTTTCCATAAACACAATGCGAGCGCTTTTGTTTAAATTCATAATTCCATTATGGCATTACCGACTTTCTAAACGCGACGGTTTTTAATTTTTAAATTTTTACTGTTTCTGAATTTATAAAATAGGAAACAATAGTATGTACGGATTCGTAATTTTTTTCTCTACAAAAAACCTAAATAGACTTTATTTCTAAAATAATTAGGGAAGCCAAATCGGAAATTAAAAAATTACTATTGAAATTCCTATGGTACGTTCGTCAAGTCACAACTCCGTACGTACCTCGTAACGCAAAAATGTTATAATAATAAGTAATAAGAAGAATAATAACTACAGTACAGTAGTACACTTCTAATTCTTCGTGATATTTCCTTCCTTTTTGAATTGTCAGTCGTTGTGTCGCTTTTAATATTATAAACGCCCATAATAACCGTACGATCGCGGGTATAACCGAATGATTACACACCAAACTGTTGCGAATGTAAGGTGGGAGAAACTAATACTGGATCACGGAAAAATTATGACGAAAACATACTTTTTACCCGACCCCAGGACTATTTTACTATCAAATGTAATGACTCGCAATTTTTTTTAAAAGGTAAATAACAGTCTAAACTCCATTATGACTGAATTGTTTTTCCACTTTTATTATTCTAACCCTCTAAAAAATATGTCAAACATTGACTATATTTCTCATTAACGATACTTCAAGGGTAGTTTTTGCAAAAACACTCGCGATTTTTAATATTCTAATTCAGACATATTATACCTCAAGATTTGAAGGTACTCTATTCCAAATTTGAGCTACGTATCTTGAAAAATGCCCTGTCTACAGCGACGGGCATTTGACCATTTTAACGCCGGTTTTTAATGTTTCCACGACGTAACACATGCTCTTAA